TTGCTTGTAACCTTTCAACCTAAAACTACTTATTTACACATTCTTAGTATTATAAAGATTTGATGACATTGATATGGTCCTAAAAAGTCTCCTACTGTGATATTATTGAAGGGTATTTAAGATATTTGGTTGATCGTAAGAATGTTTTTTTTAAAACTATGTTCCTAGTTAAACATGGAATTTTTTTGGCATAGGAGTATAAGATGACAAGGATATTTTACTGCTTTTGGTTTTCTTTAATGGGATTCAAGGGTCCAAGCCCTTATAACGATATATTTTGATGTGGTGATCAATAAGAGGTCGGTATCATAGGTGACCTTAAAGGTAGCATGTTGGAAGAAACCACTAGCATAGTGTTAGGGATTATACTCAATTAAACGGCATCTTATAGAACAATTTACCCGTAAGTGCTTACCGGATAAGATTCTTCATCCTCACTTACTAGGTAAGACTTTCCATCCTTATCATCGCTCTTATTGGATAAGATTATCCACTATTGTCATATTCATCCGGTAAGGTAAATGACCCTATAAATGCTTATTGGATAAACGTTTAGTAAACATCCCATAAGTCTTGATATTAATATGCGTGAGGAGAAATTAGTAGATGCATGTAGACCACTTTTCAATAAATAAAGATTTGCCAGCTAAAACCTCATCATGGGTAAGGTTTGACCCTACATGTACAAATAACCATAACCCAAAATCAACATCATTCAACCTTGTTTGCTGGGAATTTTTTTCTTCAGATCATTTCGGGGGGGGGGGGGGGGGGGGTTGTGAGTACCTAAGGTATGCGGCGAATGGATCATTTATTTCATTAAATATACAAAGTTAAAATCAAAGATTTCATTTAAAATTTGAAACGCTCCAGTTGTATTTAAATGAGAAAAGTCTAAAAAAATTCAATGCACTTTAGTGTTTGGAATGATTAAGTCCTCGGACAATGTGAGTACTTAAGGTATACGATGAATGGATCATTTATTTCATCAAATACACAAAGTTAAAATCAAAGATTTCATTTAAAATTTGAAATGCTCCAGTTGTATTTAAATGAAAAAAGTCTAAAAAAACCCAATGGACTTTAGTGTTTGGAATGATTAAGTCATTGGACAATTTTTTGGAACAAATAAGTCATTGGACATTCCAAAACATGTTAAATAACTTACTGGACTCTCTAAAACCTGCTAGATACATTCTTATTACCTATACAATTGGTTAATGTGGTAAAATAGTGGAAAAAGTCATAAAAAAACCAATGAACATTCATATTTTGAACGATTAAGTCCCTAAACATTTTTTGAACCAAAAAATATTTAGATCTATAAAATTAAACAAATATAACAAAAAAAATACTTACATTTACAAAAAGATAATTACATTAATTTTTTTTGATAAAATTTTATTTTAATTAAAATTAAAATATCTTAT